CTTTCTTTCTTTTTCTTTTTCTTTTCTTTTCTTTCTTTCTTTCCTTTTTTTTTTTTGGAGACAGTCTCATTTTCATGCCTCCTGGAAGAGTGCCATGGTGTCATAGCTCACAGTAACCTCAAACTCGTGGAGTCACGCCATCCTCTTGCCTCAGCCTCCCGAGTAGCTGGGACCACAGGCACCTGCCGCAACGCCCGACTATTTTTTAGAGACAGGGTCTTGCTCTTGCTCAGGCTGGTCTCAAACTTGTGAGCTCAGGCAATCCACCTGCCTCGGCCTCCCAGATTGCTAGGATTACAGGTGTGAGTCACTGCGCCCGGCCTCTTCCTTTGCTCTCTAAAGGAAGCAGGAGCAAGAGCTTTGTGGCTTATAGCTCACTGAGCTGGTTGGAATTACTGAAATGAATTGAGCTGGTTGAGAACTTTGTTATAACTCTCACATTTTAGTGCATTTTTGGTACAAGGCAAAAGGAAAGTTATGTGTAGAATAAATACAAAGCTGTTTTTGCATAATCTTTCATCGTTAAGGGTATCTTTGGCATTTTTGTGTCTTATGTTGTTGGCTATATTTTCCCCACCTCCAAAGCCTCTTTTGCACGGAAGAGCCAAGTGATTGCTGTTGGGATTTCTATAAATCTTGACTTTGGGATAATCACCAAATTGCTTTTAGGGTTTCAGTGAGAAAACGGCCAGGGAATCTTCCTTGCGTATTTAGCTGTGGAAACTCACGTACCTGTTGTTTTTCAGTTTGAGTGCATTTTGTTTCCTGTGTTGTTTTGTATATTGGCAGGTACCTTCTTTACTTACAGAAAAGACAGAGGGACCAATTATTATACTTCCTCTACAGAGTGCTCTGATAACACAGAATAAGTATATGATTTCTATTATGACTCCAAAGAGCTGTATTCCCAAAGGCAGTAGATAAAAGGTAGGGAAAACAACAAGACCATTAAGTGTTACGTCTATAAGCAAACAATATGGTTTCCTATATATTTCAAGTGTTTTACTGGCATATTGTGTACATCCTATTGTGCCACCTAACACATGGCTATCTGGGGGAGTGTTTTATTCAGCATATGCTTTTTCCTTCTAGCGCTAATATACTTCGTTTCTACAGGCCAGAAAATAGTCAAGACCTCGGAATCCTATTCTTCTCTCTGACCTCTCAGAACTTGGTATTTGGGGTACATTGGATCAGGTATGTAGGGAAATCTTGGCGTTTTCAGCCTGAGTCTGTAAGGGCAGCCCATTGTAGCTATGATGCTGGTTGCATCTGACTGGAAGCAGAGAACACCACCAAGACATAATCACCAGGTATTTGGCCATGAGAGGAACAGTTTTTTGTTTGTCTGTTTTTGAGACAGTTTCACTCAGTTGCCCTGGGTAGAGTACCTCGGCATCATAGCTCACAGCAACCTCAAATTCTTGGACTCAAGTATCCTCTTGCCTCAGCCTCCCGAGTAGCGCCTGCCACAATGTCAGGCTGTTTTTAGAGACAGGGTCTTGCTCTTGCTCAGGCTGGTCTCGAACTCATGAGCTCAGGCAATCCACCCTCCTCAACCTCCCGGAGTGCTAGGATTACAGGTGTGAGCCACTGCGCCCGGCCTAGAAGAACAGTTTTATCACAGTATTTTAGTTCTGTGGTTTAGGCACTCTTCAGTGAGGCACTCAACTGTGTGGCACAACCCACAGATTCAAGGGAAGCTGGAATGTTCTGAGAGGTCTCATGAGACATCATGACTCTCAGGGTTCCATGCGTCCGGGATTGACCAGCACAGTACTTAGGGTCTATGGACTTTTGCGTTGGAAAATGTCTTTAGTTTTGGGAAATGTCTCAGACAATGACCACTTCCTCCCATTTGTGGGGTTAGTGTGGCCTTTTAGTCTTGAAGTGACTTCAGTTTGCCACACTTGCTTAGAACCTACCCAAATCTAACTTTGGTCTCAAGCTTTGAATTAGGAAGTATTTCACTGTCCCTTGCCTTGTCTTTCTAGTTATCTTTTCACAAGAAATCCTTTATCTTTCCAACTAGATGGTAAGTTATTGAGGGCAGAAACATTATCTTGTTCAGCTTTGCTTCCCCATGGTGCCAGGAGCCTGGGTACTTCGAAGGCATTCACAAGATATGAGCTGGATGGCTGGGTTCACTTAAGAAGAGAATGTCAACTTCACCTGGGCTTCAGTGGTGGAAGTTATTAGCCTGCTAGGCATAGAGATGATGAGAAAGATCAAGGAGGAAATAGGTAGGGGATGAGAGGAATAAAGGAGGAAGATAATTAAGGGATAGAGTGATAGGATGGGCACAGAAGAGGTGGGAGAAACTGAGTTGTATGACTTCGGAGCATAACACAGGCAAGGGCCTGACAAAGGTCAAAGGTGTTATAAGTTGTTTCTTTAAACCATCCCCCCACCCTGGCTCTTCTGGGGAATTAAAGCCTGCATTCCTGTCCAAGGCCAGTAATCAGAGGGAGAGGGGATTGTTATTTGTTCTTTCTACCACAAGAGATGGCGTAACTGAACTTTCCAGGCAAAAGTCAAGAGGTTGTCTTCACCAGAGATGCTATAGTTAAACATCAAGCCTGAAGCGGAACAACCTCATGTTTAAAAACTCTGTATTCCTGCTTATAGGGAGAGCAATGGGTTTTTATTTTCTCCTACCATGGGAGTCTGCCGTCCTCCTTGTTGGCCAGCAAATTAATAAACTTTTTCCTTTTCTTCATGCCACTTGCCCTTGTTCTTCCTTCCACTCTGGAGACCAGGGTCGAACTTTTGGTAACATAAGCAAGTGTTATTAAACACATACTATATTAGGAACAATTATGTCCTCTTAAAGTGTGGAAGGAACTTAAAATCTGTAGGTATGCTGATCAGCTAAATTGGCCTTCCTGGATAATATTGGCAACATTATCTTTGCAGTAATCACAAAGATTAGACGCAGAAATTGTGGTGACTATAGGAAGGGTGCAGAAAATATTCCAATGGAAGATGTAGCCTCATTGGGCGGCCTTAGGTGGGATCATTATCAGCTGGCTAGAACATTATAGTATACATTCTACTGAGGCTAAAAGTTACGCATAGCTTCACAACTCTGTAATTTAATGTAATTTAAAAGAGTTCATCTGTACGTGGCCATAAAACATTCTCTGGGTGAGTTTCTCTTCTGTAATTATATGAAATCTCTGATCAATTTTCCTAAAACCAAGATCCTTAACCTGTGTAAGGTTTTTCTTCAGAGTATGTGCCGAAACAATTTTTTTTTTTAATTTCAAATCACAGAATTCAGAATTGCGTATTTGGTTAGAAGGGTAGAAAATAACTTCTCTTGATATGTTTGTAATGATATAGTCACTTTTCTAGGTAGTGTGAGGGATAAGAAGTTAACAGGCTACTGAGGAATTCCAGTCCAGCCAGAGGAGTAATTTTCACTTACTCATCACTATACTTACCTCATCTTTGCCATAGTTAAGTCAGTTTTGTATTCAGCTTCCACTATGTATTATTCCTTTTCACAGGCTGTGACCCTGCAGGGCACCAACAGGCACGTGGCTGCCACTGAGAGCACCCCCGAGGACTCCGGCAAGGGATCAGTGGGGAATAGGAGGCCCACAGGGATGTATTAGAGCACGTACATTTGATTTTCTTGGTCCTTTCCAGTTATATCAATCGTTCAAGAGACTGAAAGGCTTAAAAAAACTTTTAATTATGTATCTATTTTGGAAACATCCTAAAGTATGTACTTGGGAAATTAATTTTCCCCCTGAATACATTTTGGTATTTAGTACAGATATGTACGTCTTTTTATTTTTTGAGACAGAGCCTCAAGCTGTCGTCCTGGGTGGAGTGCTGTGGCATCACAGCTCACAGCAACCTCCAACACCTGGGCTCAAGCGATTCTCCTCCCTCAGCCTCCCAAGTAGCTGGGACTTATAGTCGCCCACCACTGTGCCTGGTTACTTTTTGGTTGCAGCCGTCTTTGTTGTTTGGCGGGCCCAGGCTGGATTCAAACCCTCCAGCTCAGGTATGTGGCTGGCACTTTAGCTGCTTGAGCCACAGGCACTGAGCCAGATATGTAAGTCTTGACCCCCTACTGAGGCACTGGCTTGGGGATCCCTCTACACAGTGTTTTTCCACCTTTTTAAAAATCTCATGGCACACCTGAACCTATACTTAAACTTGCGTTGATTAAATTATGTTGATTAAAAAAAAAGAGTAAAAGAAAGAATATACTTATTGTACTTTGAACTTCTTTTGAAAATAATTTCATTGGCTCTGCGCCTGTGGCTCAAGTGGCTAAGGCGCCAGCCACATACACCTGAGCTGGTGGGTTCAAATCCGGCCCGAGCCCGCCAAACAACAATGATGGCTGCAACCAAAAAAAAAAAAAAATAGCCAGGCATTGTGGCGGGTGCCTGTGGTCCCAGCTACTTGGGAGGCAGAGACAGGAGACTCGCTTGAGCCCAGAAGTTGGAGGTTGCTGTGAGCTATGATGCCACAGTACTCTACCCAGGGGGACAGCTTGAGGCTCTGTCTTGAAAAAAAATAATAATTTCATTAATGATGTTTTAAATTTTTTGCAGCACACCAATGTGCCATGGTACACTGGTTGAAAACCATTGCTCTAATAACTGGCTAGACCAGCAGTTCTCAACCTGTGGGTCACGACCCCTTTGGACTGTATTAAAGGTTCACCGCATTAGGAAAGTTGAGAACCATTGGGTAGACGGACTCTATTCTCTGTTGAGTTGCTCTTGTTTTTATAGTAAGCAGTTTGATATTAGGCTACTGTATGTATAGAAAATTTCCCAAACTCCTGAGTTAGCCAATTGTAATTTTCCATCAGAAAAACTTTCCTATAAATAGACAATTATTTCTTGTTTTTTCTCAATGGGAGCTGTTTGACACCAGGTAGAAATGTGGCTGCAGCTTGTAGGGATGGTCTATGACCAAAAGAAATGCAGGATGAAATGGAGTGATGTGACCATTCTTTTTTTTTTTTTTCCATTTTTTTCCTTTGATAGGATACAAGACAAACACCAGTTTGCCTGAGTTTTAAAAGGATATTTTCTTTGCCCCACTTGAATGACCAATAAAGACATAAGTCCAACTGGCAAAGTGAAAAGGGGGGCATAATGTGACCATTCTAAGATGTTTTCCAGCCAGAGATCCTGTTTTTGTGTGTACACGTGTGTGTGTGTGCTCGTGTGCATGGCCATATGTCCACGGGTGTGCAAAAGAGAGAGGAAATAGCTGATATTGCAGATCCTAGCTCATGGTTTAAACAGAGAATTTGAGTGTTCTGTTGCCTACCAGGCCCCTAGGGAAATAGGATGTTAGTGGACCATCCCAAAGGCTAAAGCCTACAAACTTGGCCAACAGCAGGGGTCCCTGCCTAAAACTCTATCCTGAGGGCAGAGTCACAATCTCTCCGTATAATTCCCATTTCTAAGGAAAGGCAGGGGAGCAAACTCTTTTTTTTTATTGAGACAGAGCCTCAAGCTGTCCCCCTGGGTAGAGTGCCCTGGCATCACAGCTCACAGCAACCTCCAACTCCTGGGCTCAAGCGAGTCTCCTGCCTCTGCCTCCCAAGTAGCTGGGACCACAGGCGCCCGCCACAATGCCAGGCTATTTTTTGGTTGCAGCCATCATTGTTGTTTGGTGGGTGCGGGCTGGATTCGAACCTGCCACCTTAGGTGTATGTGGCTGGTGCCCTAGCCACTTGAGCCACAGGCACTGAGCCACTAATTTAGATCGTGACACAAGGGAGGGACAGTCCATCTTAGTGATGTACTGGATCTCCCAGTCAGCCCCAATATTTGGAAGAAACTCCAAAATTCAAAAAGGGGCTGTAGACTCCACAAGCAGAACGTTAAACCTGGCTTTCAAGGTTTTCGATAACCAGGATGGGGCGAGGCGAGAGAAAAAGGAGAGAACGGGACTGACAGAAGCCCTGAGAGCCCAAATAGTGGCTACCATTATAAGAAGAGCTTAGGAACAGACTTACTCAAAAGGCCCAGGTAGGTGATAGAGTCAAATGGAGGGACCTGCCCAAATAGAACCGACCCACCCAAGGAAGAAATGAGTCCATGGATGTCCCACCCAGGAAAGAGTAATGTACCAATCCCTACCCTCCCTACCCTTTAAATTTCCATCCACCTTAACCCACATGCTGACTTCCTTCTCGAACTCAACTCACCGCACCTGGGTGGGAAAAAAGGCCGCTGTTGCCCACACGGAACCCGGACTCCATTTCCTTTTGTTTTATGTTTCAGAATAATCTTTTATTTTCAGTCTTTGACCTCTCAGTAGGGAGACACCAAGACTGCTTCCCCCACCATACCCTTCTATGAGAAGTAAGCCCTGCCACTACACTTCTGGGTCCCTACAGTCAAAATGTGCCAGGAAGAGGCTTTACGATAACTTTTTACTCTGCAAAAAGGAAGGGAACTGGAAGAGAGGGTGTCCTCTCCTTACGACAGGAGACTGCACTTGCCTTCCAGAACTGGTTGTCCCTCACCCCTACAATTTGCATCCTCCATACCCACGGGCCTGCTGGAACTACTTTAATCTGGCTTAAGAACAGGCTGGACTTCCTCACACCAGGATGACTGAGCCTTAGGTAACTCTGTCTCTGTCACACGTAAGTAAACTCATTTTAATAGATACTGGCCACTTACTCTGCTCTTCCTGAATGGTCAGGACCTATATTTCCCTCTCCCATCTCCATGTTGGAGTGGAAAGTAAAACACAGAACTCCTGTGTACTTCACAGCTCTGCTGCTCACTGGGAGACCAGGTCTTTGCTTTCCTTTCTGGCGCTTCCCAATCACCCTATCCCCTTAATGGAGAAGATACTAAGGTTAACAAAAGATTTTGTTCACCTTTAAAAAGGGAGGGAAGTAGGAAAGAAAAGAGACAGATTCAGTTTGCCTCCTTATAAGCTCACTCTCCAGAGTAAAACTTGTCCCTCTGGGCGGCGCCTGTGGCTCAGTGAGTAGGGTGCCGGCCCCATGTACCAAGGGTGGTGGGTTCAAACCCAGCCCCGGCCAAACTGCAACAAAAAAATAGCCAGGCGTTGTGGCATTCGCCTGTAGTCCCAGCTACTCGGAAGGCTGAGGCAAGAGAATCGCCTAAGTCCAGGAGTTGGAGGTTGCTGTGAGCTTTGATGCCACAGTACTCTACTGAGGGTGATAAAGTGAGACTGTCTCTACGAAAAAAAAAGAGTTTGAGGTTGCTATAAGCTATGATGCCACACCATTCTACCCAGAGTGACAGAGTAAGACTCTATCTCAAAAAAAAAAAAAAGGAATTTGTCCTGGAGCCTCACAGGGGATGAGTGCACATTTGTGAAGGCCCTAACTGAAGATTTTAGATTATTCCACAAAACCATGCAGAGCCTTCAAATTTGATGGCAGAAACAAAGCAGCACATTCTAGAGACCTAATATGGCAGCAGTGGGTAGGAGAAACTGAGTAAGAGAATTCTAAGGTAGGAAGACTCAGGGCAA